ATTTTCAGTTCTGTGTTTTCTCTTTTTTAGTATCTATTTAGTCTTTTTTTAACTTTTTTTTGCTATTTATATTTCTTCTTTTAGCTTTTAGTATAATTTTCTTTTCTTTTAATATTCTTTGTCATATTTTTTTTTCTTGTTTATTCTTTCTTCTTCTGTGATCATTTTGTACTAATTATTTTCTTTTTTACTAATTCTTTGTATTGCCTTGCTTCTGTCATACTTACAGTCAAAGTCTATTTTTATTTATATATTTCTTTTTTAAATACTTCTTTGATGTTTTTGATATGCTTATTATTTTTTAGTAACTATCTGATAAATTTGTATATTTTTTTTAGTCTTTTTAGATACATTATGTGCTAATATGTTTGCATATAGACTGTTGTTTTAATTGCAGTCTCTTTTGCTTAGTACCCACATGCTGTCTTCAAGTAGTATTTCTATTATATTAATTTTTTTTCAATTTCTTGTTTTTTTTTTTTTTTTTTTCTTCTATTATTGATCTCTGTCTTAATTCTTTTCTGTTTATTTTTACATCTTCTTGTTTTCTTTTTTGTTCTTTCTTTTTCTTTTTATAAGTAGATAACTTGGCTTCTACTTGGCTATTATATGTTTGTCTTACCTTTATACTTACTTCTTTTCTTGCAGTTTCAATACTTGCTTGTAACCTTTTATTAGGCTCTTTATTCTTTACTTTTCTTTTTTGTGTCTCTTTCTTCAGCTCTTCTTGCCTTTTTTCAATTTTATTTGTCTGTTGTTATTTTTTTTTTTTTTCTATACTTATTTTATCTTAATACTGTTTTACAAAATCAAGCTTTTTCTCAGGTTCTCTTTCTGCTTTTTTTAATATTTTTTTTATTATTTGTAAAAGATCTACTTCATTTGGGTCTTGTTTTGTAAGTACTGCAATGATATTATTTTCTTTACTAGGTATAGTGTATGTCTTGTTTGCTTTATTAAAGAAAATTTTATATGCACACAGTTCATTGCCTTATATGCTCTTCTTGTAAAGATTGTATTAAGACTTTCTCTATATTTTTTTGGCAGTCTTCTGTTCATATTGCATAATTGTTTTCTAGATATTTCTAAACTATATGTTTTATCTAAATTAAACTAGTTTGATATATGTATTTGTTTATTTACTTTGTTTATTCTATTGTGTCTTCTTGTGCAACTTAAAAGATCTATGAGACAGAATTATAACAATTTTCTAAAATTTTTTTAATTTTTTAGCTTTTCATCAAAAATTCTTTATATGCTGTTTTTTGCTATTTTTATAGTTTTTCTTTTGTATTTTTGCTATTAAACTATATACAACTTTTGCTATTCTATTTTTTTTGTTAGTATCTTAAGTCTTGTTTTCTAGTCTAGTTATAGAGTTTTTCTAAGTTTTGCTTTTTACAAATTTTGGTTAAAGGATCTATAAAAAAAAATGTTGTTTATTTTTTTGGTAAATTATTATTAATATTCTTCTTAATATTAATAAACAATTATATAAGCAATTAAGAAAAACATATTGCATTCATTTTTTTTAACTAAAAAAAACAATAAAATAGATCTTAATCTTAATTTATTAACAAACTTCTAATATTATATAAGTATATATTTTCTTAAAAAAATTATATATATTTATATTTTTGCAGATTTTCTAATCAATTATATACTCATTCTAACATGTATTTTTCTATTAGTTAAGCAATTTGCAAAATTAATATTTAGTCTATTTTATAAATTAAATATAATATATTATCAAATTATATATTAAATATCTAAATTTAGATAAGCTTTAACTACTCTAATATATTTAAATTACAAATAAATTAGTCTGAATTTTTATTTATATATATAATTTTTAATTTATTTATTTTATACAAATAATAATACCTGTATAGTTAGCTTTAATTGCAAATAATAGTTTTAGTAATAGCATATATATATATAACTATTTTAAATTACTAATAAAGATATAAACAAGACCTTACTTTAATATCAAAAAAATTTTGAACTATTATTATATTTTAAAAAAATATATTTATATATATTACTAAGTTTTTTTAAGTTATTTTAAAATTTTTTAAAGTAATACAAACTTATCAAATTTGATTAACTAATTTATATATATATATATTTTTAAACTTTGGCAACTTTGTTAATATTCTTTATTAAGAGAATTGCATATTTAATAATACAAATATTAGCTTAATTTCTAGGTTTAATATCATTTAGCTACTGTATTAATGTCTAAAGGCAGTTTGCCATATTAGTATAAGTTGTTACTTATTGCTAGAATGCTATTCAGACTAGTCTTTAAGGCTGTTTTAGTAAGACCTCTTATTAATATTAATTAATCTTCTTATTGTATTTTTCTATAAACTTTCTGTTTTTTTTTTTTTTTTATATATTTTTCTTTTTTTAATTTTCTATTTCTTGATCTTAATATTACTTTGTTTACTGCTTTAGTTTGTTATTTTGATACTTAGTTCTTGTTTTTCTTCTTTCTTATACTAATGCCTTAACTTTTTTCTTTTTTTTTAGTATTAAGATAAGGCTTTGCTTATATCTTTATTAGTAATTTTAGTTGTATATATTAATATACTACATATTAAGATATACTAGAATTTTATAAACAAAATAAAAACTACATGTAAGTATTAAAGTTTAGACTATTTTATCTGCAACCTAAACCAACTAAAGTGGTCAATGCTATCTATATTTGTTGTATTTATACAAATCTAGATGGGTTTGACCTAAATTGTATAAGTACTTTATAAGGAATCTATAAAATATAGATAATATATAATTTGTTTAGTATAAATATAAGAAGTTGTTAGTTATTTGTATAAATATATTAATTTTAAATAGGATAATAAGATAAAAAAAAATTGTAGTTAATATGATAATTGTGTTATAAAAATAAATTTAAGTTTATTAATATTGTTATTATTTAAAATTGAGTTTTGAAAAATTTTGTAAAAGTAATCTTCTATTTAATGAAAATTGTTGGTGTTATGTAAGTAACATTTAGATTACAACATATAAATATTTTTTCTATTTATTAAAAATCATTGTTATCACATAAGTACCATTTAGATTACAACAAATAAATATTTTTTTTTATTTTATACATTATGTTGAAATAACATGAGTATCATTTAGATTACAACATATAAATATTTTTTTTCACATTGTAATCTGTAACAGATTAAGCTACAGATTTTACTTACTATCTTAAAATCTATCACTATTGTATTTAGTAATTTTAGTAATTTGAAAGACTAATTATTACCAAATTAAAGTTGAATATATAAAACTGATTTTATCATATTTATTTTTTTGGCTATTTTATAACTTAAATTTTTTTTATCTAATATAATTAAAATACACAAATTAAAAGTTTAAATAATATATTAACTTCTAATAAGACTTATTGTAAAATAAAGATAATCAATTTTTTAATAAAGCACAGATTATTTGTTTTAATAATTTTAGTAGCAACTATTTAATCAAAAGTGTTTAAAATATGGATTTATGAATAAATAATATAAACAAAAGAAGAATTCAGTTTTTTGACTTATCTTCATTTGAAAGAGATAGAATTAAGTAAAAAAAACTTATCTTTTAAGAAAGAATTTGTTAAACAATAGCATGATTAAAGAAATAACATATTGTTTTTTTTTTTTAATATTAATGATGAGGTCATGCCTCTATCTTTATTAAATATTTAATTGAGATTTTACATAGAGTACAATTCTGCTTTTAAAATACTATAGAAAGAATAAAAGCTCAGACTAATTTATCTGCAACCTAAACCAACTGAAGTGGCCAAGGTTCATCTAGATTTGATTGTTAGTAATTATTTATAGAAGATTAGTTTGATATTTAATTCATTAAATATATTAGAAAAAATGACATATTGTTTGCTTTGCTTAAAGTAATTAATTTTAAAAAGTTTTTATTTTTATATAAATATTTATTTAGTTAATATTAGAAGCAACTTTTGAATTTGCTTATAATTTTTTTTTTTAATAGTTTATAATCTGAGAATATGTACAATTAGACAATGATTGAAAGTAGTAGCTTACCCTTTCACAAATTACAAATATGCTATTTTTTTATTGTATATATAATTTAATTACAAGTTAGTTGTATAACATCTATCATGTGCTTTTTTTTAATTTTTGGTAATTTAGCTGTTTACGTATTATCTAACATGTAGTCCACATATTACTTCTAGCTATACTGTACTATACTCCATTGCTTTTGATTTTTTTTGACTTTTTTTTTTGTATCTCTTTATCAAGCTGTCAACAATGCTTTTTATAGTTTTTATATATCACTATGCAACTATTTTGCTTACAATTTTTTTCAGTTAGTATTGTGATAGAATGTTTCATAAAATTGTGTCTAAACCTTCTAAAGAATGTCATAAAAGACTTAATTATGAATGACAACAATGTTATTATTTACAAGTTGCACCAATACAAGATATTAGTAGTAAAAGAGCCTGTAATGCTAAATCTTTTAGACATACTAAAATTTAGAACAAAAGAAGCTACAAAAAACTGAAATAAGGTTGAATGGTCAGAACAAAATGCTACTCAAAAAGAAAAGCAAAGAGTTGCTACTAAAAAATATACACTATCAAAGAAGCAGATAAGTATATATAATAAAGCATTTAATGTTCTAACACCTTCTTCTTTAAATCTCTATATTAGTACTTCCAAAGCTGTAGTTAATATACAAGTTAAGTTGTCTGCACTTAATTCTTCAGTTATGATTTTATCACAACTATTAAAAGTACACATATATTTATAGTCTTTCTGTAAAATAGCATAGCACAATTTGGAAAATATGGATTGTAAATATTGTAATTGTGGAGCTCTTCTGTAGATTAATAAATAAAAGGCATAGTCTTCTACACTTTTTTGGGTTTTACTATATGCTGCACTGAAGGCAAAGTTTTTCTTTCACCACTTCAAGAACTACCTTTCTCTTTGAATATGCTTCTTACTGGAACAGACCCTTCTGCACACCTATTTAAGAAAAATATAAGAATGTATAATTCTGCATTAGCCTTTACTTCAATAGATGCAAAAATTGATCAAAGCATAACAGAAACAAGTGGTCTTTACAGCTTTCGTATTTATGGTGAGATGTATCATTATATAGGCACTTTATTGACCAATCACAATATTCATCCTCAGTTTGCTTAAATTTATATTTACGATACAGAGCATGAGCTTTAAAACAGATTAAATATAATGCCAGAACTTGATTCTTTAATTCTTATTAATTTTTAGCAATTATTATATAATATAAATCTGTATAGTCAAAATTTAAGCAAGCTAGTAATATATTAATATCTAATCCTGCTCTAAATTTAAAAATAGTTATTACTAACAACAGAACATATGATTTTCGATAATATAATACTCCTACTGCCTTAGAAGTTACCATCATTATGATTGGAAATGGACAAAAAATTGAATCTATAAACTGTGATATTATTCTACAACTATATAATAGAGGATTACAAAGAATATATAAACTTCACTGAGTTTATGAACTCTTACATTATGTCCTGATGTTTTTCAGAGGTGATGATGATTGGCATCCAAGTATTCCTATTAATTATTCTATATCTACTAATCAAGTTCTGTTATACGATAAACCTTCTGTATCAATTGAGGATAATAATGCAAATAATACAAAACATATTACTGCAATGAATTATTATGCATATTGAATTCATCTTGGCCAACTAGATAAAGCTGTAAATTATCATCTATTTGGATAGCTTTTTCAACAATAGATAGTTGATATGTATGCAATTGTAGAACAAATATGTCTTAACTATTTAAAGCATAATCAAAAAAAAGCTATACCTAGAATTATATAGTAGATTACAGAATGCATTACTCACTGAAGATAATATAATTAGAACAACAAATCTTAGCTAATGTATAATTTTGTCATCGACCTTTACAGATAAACTTTGTTATATGCATCTATTTTATCAAAATGTGATGGCAATTGTGCAAATACTTGGCAAGTCTAATTTGTTTATCACAATAACTTGTAATCTACAATGGCCTAAAATTACTAATACTCTTCTTCAAGTTCAAACAACATAGGATCGTTCTGATTTAATTTCTCACATTTTTAATATAAATTAAAAGTGCTTCTTAAAGAAATTTTAAAAGAATCAGTATTTGGAACTGTCTTAGGTTATCTATATATCATAGAATTTCAAAAGCATGACTTGCTTCATGCTCAAATTTTCATTATTCTTGCACATGAACATAAGCCTAAGACCATTAATAATTATGATTTTATTGTATTAGCTGAAATCTCTGACAAATATACTAATTTTACTACTTTTGAAACTATCAAGCAATTGATGATACATGGACTATGCAGTGCACTTATGCCAAGCTCTCCTTGTATAAAAAATAAAAAATGTTCTAAAGAATATCCCAAATGTTTACAGCAATTTACTACACTAAATAATAATGGCTATCCTATCTATAGATGAAGAGAAAATGGCCAAACTATAGAATTATATGAAGTTACATTGGACAATAGGTGGGTCATTTCATATAACCCATATCTTTCTACTAAATTTAATTGCCATATAAATGTTGAAATCTGTTTATCTATTACTACTATTAAGTATCTTTTCAAATACATTTATAAAGGTCATGATCATGCTACTGTTAAAATTAGAAGACTACTTCAGAATGGCAATTTAAATTACAATAAAATAAGTCTTTATCTTGATGCTCACTATGTTTCTGCATCAGAAGCTTCTTGGCAATTACTGCATTATTGTCTTCATAACAGAAGTCCAGCTGTTATACCTCTTTAAATTCATCTTCCTAGACAATATAGAATAATATTTACTGATGATAAATGCTTGCAATATGTGTTTGACTATGTTAAAACTAAAAAAACTATTCTTACAGCATGGTTTAATGCAAACTCAAAATATCCTGAATCAAGAAATCTTAACTATAGAGATTTTTTAACTAAATGGGTTTATAACAAGCATGCACATAAATGGAAGCTAAGACAACATAAAAATGTAATTGGATAAATGTATTTTATAAACCCAGCAGCTGGTGAACAATATTATTTTTGACTTTTTCTTACTGTCATTTGTGGTGCAACTTCTTTTGAAAACCTTCATACTATAAATGGTGTTTTCTATACTACTTTTAAAGAAGCTTGCTCTGCTTTATATCTATTACAAAGTGATGATGAATAGAATCAATGTTTAGCTGAAGTAGCACAAATTTGCTCTGAACATTAATTGTGAACTTTATTTGCTATATTACTTCTGTTTTGTGACCCTTTAAGGCCTAAAATTCTTTAGGAGAAGTATTTTAATTATTTAACTAAAGATTTTTGATTTCTTAATAAATCTATACTTACTGATACTACCTCGCAAAACAGAGCTTTAATTCACTTACAATCTATTTTATCTAGGCACAGAAAAACTTTTTTTGACTTTCTTAATATACCTCTACCAACTAATTTTATCAAGTCATCTATAATTACAAACAAACAAAATTATAATATTGAAGAGCTAACTTACATAATCGAAACTGAAATCCTTCAATTAAATACTAAACAACACATTATTTATAACAAAGTAATTGCTGCTATCAATAATCAAACTCCTGTCATTTTCTTTATTAATAGCCTAGGCAGAACCAGAAAAACTTTTATATACAAGTAAATATTTAATTTTTTTTAATTTTTAATTTTCTTCATTTCTACCTTTATATATACTTTTTTTTCTATAATATTATCTTAGTGAAAGTTCATCTAACTAGACTTTTAGCTCTTGCTGTAACATTTTCAGGCATTGCTTCTCTTCTTTTACCTGATAGCCACATAGCATATTCTTAATTCAAAATCTCTATAAATTTATACAAAGATTCCATTTGCTTTATTTTACAAAGATCTGAATTAGCTTTATTTTTGCAAAACACCAGTCTTATTGTCTGGAATGAAGCTCTGATGGCCCATAGATATGCTTCTGAAGCACTTAACAGATTACTAAAAGATCTTATAAAGGCTATAAATCCAGTATTAGAAGATCACCTGTTTGGAGATAAGGTTGTTATATTTGAGAGTGACTTTCACCAAATTCTTTCTGTAATATTAAAAGGTGGTTATGAAGAAATTGTGAGTTCCTGTTTATGTCAATCCCATTTATGAAATCACATTGAAATTTTGCACTTAAAAACAAATATGTGCCTTCTTTATACTAACAATCCTTCTAATATATATGAGCAAGCTAAATTTGCTAAATAGCTAATTAAAATTGGTAAAGATCATTTTCCTGCTATTACTTCTGAACCTAATACTATTAAGCTTCTAGAAGATATTGTACTACAATTACAAAATTTGCAAAGCCTTATATGAGCTATATATTCTACATTTCCTTCAATTTATGATTCAAACTATTTCATAAAACATACAATACTTGCTTCTAAAAATGATCAAGTTGATATTATTAATTCTACTATTATAAATCAATTTTTAGGAAATCCAACTGAATATCTTAATGCTGATATACTTGAAGACCACAATAAAACTCCCAATCTGTATCCTACTGAATTTCTTAATTCTTTATCTATCACAGGTCTTCCTTCATATAAACTAATTTTAAAAACAGATTCCCTAATTATATTATTATAAAATATCAATCCTTCAGATGGTCTTTGTAATGGAACTAGATTGATCTGCTATTCTATTTTGAAACATGTTATTGATGCTGAAATAATTACTGAAAAGCATTCTGGAACCTGTGTTTTTCTTTCTTGTTTTACACTTTCTTCTTTGATGCTAGATTTTTAAGTGATAACAATTCTTTGTTTAACCTGCATTTGCTCTTACAATCAATAAATCCCAGGGCCAGACTTGAAATTATGTTGGACTATATCTTCAAACTCTTGTTTTCTTCTATAGACAACTCTATATTGCATGCTACAGAGTTACTTTACAATATAATTTAAAAGTTCTTCTACCAAACTCCACAGATACTACTATTAATCAATGTATTATTACTAAAAATATCATCTATTCTGAAGTATTTAATTAGCATTTTATTTTTTTTTTATTCTTCTATTATGTATATTTTTTAAATTTGTATTTTATATTTATTATTTAATAAATTTAATTTAAATTACTATCAAAAAATTATTTTTATAATTTATGATTCAATAATTACATCAAAAAAAAATAAAAAGCTTAATTTTTTATACTTGATTTTTTTATGTCTATTACTCTCATATAAGTAACACTTCAACTATATACATTATCTATTAACATTACAACTGCACTATACTTATAATCTATTTAATATTTATTTTTTAATAATATCACTACATATTAAGCATCGATGCAAAATCTCAACCGAGATTACCCATATTTATCTAATTTATCCTTTAATTAAATAATTAGCTGTATAACATTGTTATGCAAAACCAGAAATGGAAGATGGATTTTTAGATCAAGTTGCAGATAAAACTGCTTTGTCATAGTTTTTAGTTAACAGTAAGTAAATAAACCTCTTTTTTTGAAACAACATTTGTATAAGTTACTAAACATTATATTTAAGTTTTATAAAAATCTATGAAATTATGCAAACATCTTAGTACTAATCACTTTGCTTTCTACAATATAATGATACAGTCAGAGCAGTGAACAAAATAAATAAAATCTAGAATAATTTAATAAATATATAATGAGGTTAAAAGCTAAGATAATAAATAGAGAAATCAATATTATTTAATAAGCTAGAAATAATAATTATTTGATTACAAACATCTAATTTACAATTTTTTTTTATCATATGTTAATAGACAAAAGCTTATAAATAAAAATCTAAAAATCACAAGATGAAATTACAAGATTATAATAACCAATCAGATAAAAAAGAAACACACCATTTCAGATGCCTATAAAGCATACTTTACATTATACATTGTACAAACTAAACCAAATTACTTCTAAACATCTATGTTAATTAAAAAAAAATTAGCTTTTCCTGTCCTAGATTTCTAAATTATTTACCTTCTTATTAGATTAACTTATCTTTTTTCTTTTACTTAAAATTGAAAGCACTCGAATTATCTCTATCTATCTATTATACTAAAATTGTTTGGACTTATATATAGATGTTATGTTTAATTTATCCTATATTATTATTTTTTAAATTGTATAATGATATTACTGATACAGAATTAGTAATCAACTAAAATTTAAGGTAAAGTTAGAATAATCCTATTGCTAGCATTAAGCAATAATACCAAACCTGAAAATTATTATCTGACTAGGCTTACTTAGTATATAAACAACTATTTTATTAGTAAATTTTATGAAAACTTATCAATTCCAACCTATTTCAACTCTATTGCAAACTTAAAATTACTTTTAACTAACATTAATCTTAGAACAGTAGAATTTATGATCAAAGATTTTTAATAATTTATAAGAAATAATAGCATATCAGTTTAGTACAAGCTCAAATTAAAAGTTGATTAGCAATAATTACTAATTGTAATGCTAATATATATAACACCCAGAGTTAATAGATGTTCTTTATCTTTTTTTTTTATTATATAATATCAAGTAGGAAAAATATTAATACATGAGTATATCAATTGGATATAAATGTATAAATAAGAATTATTCCTAAGCTACACTATTGTTGCTATATACTAATGACATCTAGTGTGATATTATCCTTTAGTTATCTG